GCTTTGTCATGCTAAAGCCGTCCGGTGGGGGGGGGGGGCGGTGCAGCCTCGTGCATCATGCGCCGCCGGGAGCCAGCTGCTCGCTGGGGCAATTTACACACACACACACACACACGCACACACGTACACACACGTGTGTGTATATGTGTCTGTCTTGAGCCCCTTTCGCAGCTCTAACCGCTAGGCCGCCCCGAGCCGTGGGACGAGCGCTGCGTGTCGAAGCCTCGGGTTGTGTGGGTTCTGTGGGTCGGGAGTGTTATGCGGTCCTGCCTTTTCTGCACGCGGCTCTTAGTGGTGGGGAGCGTCCCTAAGGGCTAGCGGGACCTGGAGCAAGGAAGGAAGCCCGTGGGGGCTCCGGCGGGGGTTACGGCTTTCCCTGGGAGGGATCGGCCTCGGGGAGCCTTTTCTCTCGCTTTGCAACCCCCCCCCACCTCGCCGGCGACCCCCTGGGCTCAACGGTTGGCCCTGCAGCCCCAGCCAAACCCTGGTGGCTGAATGCCGGGGGGGGGGGAGCATCCTGCCCCATCATCCCCTCAGGTAAATGGTTTGCAGCAGTGGCAGTGAGATATGAGCAACGGGGGAGCAGAGGGGGAAAGGAGGCAGGAGATGACTGGTGTGCACCTGTTGAGAGGCTCTTTCCAGGGAGGAGGAGGAGGAGGGTGGTTGTGGCCCTCCGGATGTTTGGACCTACAGCTCCTCTCTGTTGCAAGCCTAGAATCTCTGGAGGGCTCAGCTTTGATGCCCTCACCACAGACCCCAGTCTGGCCAGTGTGGTCTACAGCCGTGCCTGTGGCTTAAGGCTCTGGGAAGGGGTTGTGCAGGGGCATCTCCCCTGAGATCAGTCCCCCAGGACTTGAAGGAGGTCTTATTCTGATTGGTTTGGGGCCTGCTTGGAGCAAAGGTCAGGGAGCTCTGGGCTCTTGTTCTGTGTAAGTAGGTATGTTCTGGAATGTGCTTTAGGTGCTTCCCTAAGGCCTTTAACATCATTTAGTGTGGAGACCAGGAATGTGACCCTTTGGTCCACATTCTGCAGGTGGGACACAGCAGTAATCCCCCTGGTTTGCAGGTTTTTTTGTAACACTCGCTAAGAATTCCCTCCCTCCACCTCTTGCCATGTCCTTCTGCAGTCATCTTCTTCCAACTCTGCCTGCTGCTTTTTATCGATCTCTCTACAAGGAAACAAACTTCTGTCATGTTAGGTGTGCTCTTCTGAATAAAATACAAAGCTGTCAGTTGTATAACTTTAGCACAACTAACAAGATGGTACCACTTCTGCAATAATAATTTCTTGTTGTGAGTTCCAGTTTAAGGTGACCCAGTCCAGGGATGGTTTCCCAGTCCCGTCTTTGGGGGGACTTTGGGAACGTGCAGATTGCCAAGGCCACATAGGCTCACTGTTTTCCTGCAAGGGTGGACCACGGCTTCCTACCCAGGACTCAGTGAACTTTCTAGGTACTGTAGTATATTGTTAGTGTGGTTTGGGATAACATCAATAATTTTAGGCAGTACTAAATGGAACTTGTTTGGAGAGTCAGGGCAGGGGAAACCTCAAAGGAGAGAGTGGGGCTGGGGAAGCTGTCAGGGTCTGCAGTGGCGAGCTAAGCCTATAGCTCTCCATGTGCTTCCTGGAATTACCATTCAACTCTAGAAAGAGACTGTTATTTGGATCCTTTGGTGGCCAGCAAATGAAAAAAGACACGCCAGCTGTGGTTGCAAGAGCCTATAAGACTTACCTGCACCATCGAGAGGAGTCAGGTGCGTGGGCAAGTTGACATTTCTAACTCCGTAGTGCACAGGACCGTAGCCTGATCTCTAAATATGGAATACATCACACAAGTGAGATGGACTTCAGTTTAGCTGACAGTGCAAGGTTCACTTTGGCCCCGTGCAGGATATTAAGATTGGTAGTGTGAGGGGGGTGTCCCTCTGCCCACCCCCCTTAGCAAAGTAATGTTTGGGAGGGGCTGGTGGAGGGACTCCTTTGGCCCCGTGCAGGATATTAAGATTGGGAGTGTGAGGGGGATTCCCTCTGCCCACCCCCCTTAGCAAAGAAATGTTTGGGAGGGGCTGGTGGAGGGACTGTCTGTTCCAACTGGATCAGACAGCAGGATTGGATGCAAAAAGATGGCTGTTCAAAGCCACGGAGAGTGACTACCACTCAGAAGAGACAGCCAGAGGCTTGGTGGACAAATAACCTCGTGAAGGTCTGAGGTGGCTTCCAGTGTTCCTTCGACATCAGATTTCCTAGCCACGCCACTCCCGGAAAGATGGCTGGGCCTGCTCCAGTCCATGCCTGCTTTTCCTTGATATGCGTCTGGATTTCCCTCACACTGACGTTTTCTTCACTGCTACTTCCAGCTTGGGGACGTGGTGGCGCTGTGGGCTAAACCGCAGAAGCCTGTGCTGCAGGGTCAGAAGACCAAGCAGTCGTAAGATCGAATCCACGCAACGGAGTGAGCTCCCGTCGCTTGTCCCAGCTCCCGCCAACCTAGCAGTTCAAAAGCATGCAAATGCAAGTAGATCAATAGGGACCACCTCGGTGGGAAGCTAACAGCGTTCCGTGTCTAAGTCGCGCTGGCCATGTGACCACGGAAGATTGTCTTCGGACAAAACGCTGGCTCTATGGCTTGGAAACGGGGATGAGCACCGCTCCCTAGAGTCGAACACGACTGGACAAAAATTGTCAAGGGGAACCTTTACCTTTACTTCCAGCTTGTGCCCAAATCATTTCCGTTTCATTGTTTGGCCTGGAATACTCCCCCAATGGGAGTATTTGCTCCAGCAATAGCATAGCACACTTGGCTTCTTTATTCAGTATTTGCCACATAAGACAGAACATGCAATGATGCATTTTGTGAGAGGTTTGGGTTGCGCCAGATGGCGCTCTCCCCTTGGAAATCCCAACTGGCCTTGCCTGTGGCCTTGGGAACGCAATGCCAATTTGACATCCCAGCTACTCAGTCACCGTAGAGAATGTTTCCAAATAGCTTTCATGTTGTGAGCTTGAAGTTATTTGTTTGGAAACTGCTGGAAATCTTCTAAAGGATATTTAAAGCACAACCTTCTTCTAAAATAAATATTTAAACTCAGAACTGTTCTGCTGTGTAATTTGTTTTGACAATGTCAGTCAAATCAGTTTGGCAAAGTTTCGCTGTAATCTGTGTTCCATTTCCCTGGTGGGAATTACCAACGACCCCCAAGTATAAGCAGTTTCTGCCCACTGACGGTGTGACTGGCCTGTTCAATGAGTCGTGCCGGGCTCAGCTGTGACTCTTGCAAGCAGGTCCTGTGCATGTGTACGTACTCCCATGAAAGTTTTGCTGAGTGAAATAAGGCTTGCTCCCCAGAGGTGCGTTGAGAACTGGAGCCATGGTTCCCTTTTCTTTCTCCTGTTTATTAACTGTGTGTGCAAAAAATAAAAATACAAAGTGGCTTACAGCCTTGAAGCAGCCTGTTGGGAATGTGTGAGAACACACCCTTGGCAGCCTGAAACCGGGACTCCATCTGGGGACTCTGGGCTTAGTTTAGACTGCAGAAGGCTAGGGATGGGGGGGGGGCGGGGGGCGGGGATGGGACTCAGCCCTCACCTTCCTTGGTGGCTGCCTTCCAGTCCCATTCAGTTCTTTGCAATTGGACTGTGGTTCATGGAAGGAGAAAAGGCCCGCATGCTTCCCGTGCCTAGCTGCTGTGAGCTCTGTGCCAGTCCCATCAAGGAAGGAGCTTGAGCAGACCTCACCAGGCAAGAGTCTTGCCTCCCCAGTCTCTCAAACCATTGGGATTGATCCTGTGACACAGAAGGAGAGGTCTGGCTTCCTTGATTCTGAGTAGAGCAGCAAAAAACTGTCCGTCTTTCACTTTTCCATCACTCCTGTTGCCTGATAAAATAGCTCCAAGTTCTTTTCAATGAAATTTGTGTAGTTAAAGAAGCAATCATTAAAAAGCTCTAGCCCAGCCACCTATCTTCCTATATTGGTGTACACTTACAGATTCTATAGGTCTTGTAAGCTACTGCTTTGCTCTCCCATGCTGATCAGAAAGGGTGGGCAAAGCCTGGTCCTCCAACTGCAGGTGAGCGAGCAAACTCAGTGGTGAGGAATGCTGAAAAATGATGTTCATTAACTTCTTAAGTGGTCATGGCTATACACTGAAACCCAAGGATTTTGATGATATTTCAAAAAGTAGTGTACTCCAAAAGAATTAGATGAATTCTGTTTTAGCCATTTATAGTACCTTGGTTTGTCATTTCAGGCCATTTTCCTCTAACCTAGTTAGAGGTGTGTTAGCCTACAGATCCTATCATCCCCAGTCAACATGCACATTGATTGTGCAGCCTTAGGATGATAAAGAGTTGTAGTCCAGCACACTTTGAGAAATACAGTACCTTGAATTGCCTTGTGCTCTGTTTGCAAACTCCCAAAGGCATGTCTTTGGAAGGAAAATGCTGGATGTTAGAGCGGCCAGAGTCGGATCCTGCCAGGCAGTGATTGCCTTCTTACTGTACTTGGCTGAATATACAGTGGCTGAATCTGTTGTAAACTATAGGTTATTGTGCTGTAGTTACTCTTGTAATGTTTGACTGTGCATCCAAAACGTTACTCCTAACCCCTAATACTTA